GTGGCAACGAATGCGAACGGCGCCGTCTTTTTCCAGTCAGTAAATTCAGGCGGCCGTATTAGTAGGTTGCGGTAAGTTCCTGTACGCCAACGCAAACTAGGGTTCTTATAAACATGGCGTATAAAAAAAAAAAAAGAAATACAGGTTTAGGTCTTTAATTTTGCGACGGGCAAAATCATTTTTTCGACGGACATTTTTTTTTGTACACCTGGCCAGTCGTGTTCGCAACGCTGGAAATAGTTGTTGTGTGTACATTTCTTGATGCATTTCTAAAACGCACGGATCACGGACCGACTACGGTTTTTACCGGTGTTCTCAATATAGACGTCCGCTGATGCCGAGGGCATCGAAGGGCAGAGAACTAAGCCGCGCTATGAGCCTATGGCCCCCCTCACGAGTTTCCCTCTCTCCTGAAGCCCAGCATCTCAAGTCTACGTCAGCCACCATTTTGTTTTATTTGTAAAGATAAGATGCGTCCTGCTGGGGTAAAAACAGGAGAGAAAAAAGGAAGACTGTTGCCGCTTTCGAAGTGCTAGAAAAATATCTGACTCACAAAAAAGGGTGACTGACATGCAGATAAACTGGCGGGAATTCGCAAATAAAGTGGACCGACCCTAGAAGTTGGACAGAAAAAAACTTTGAAAACAGGATCAAACTAGGTGAATAGATGCAGAAACAACTGCATGTTATTTCCTAAGAGAAGGCGAGAAATGAGCATCAAGGAACGAGGGTGCTTGTGGCAGTAACACCTTCAGATATTGTCACATCTCTTTTAGTGGATTTTAGGGTAGGCGGAGCGTTCTTTGCTGTTGTGACATTATGAAAGTGGTCATAAGTCACTCTAACCAAGAAGGACATTGTTATTTCTTGTCTGTGCACTTACTGCCTCGAGTTTTTCGAAGGTTTTTGGGGGGAACTAAGGAGTGTCAATTAAGCCTGCCTTTGCGCTGGTCGTCAATGCACGTGACAGTGTGACTGCGCTCAACTACACCGAAATAAACACCTTTTCTTCCTTTTTTGGGGGGAGGGGGGGGCCAAAAAAAAGAATTAAAACAAATTCGTTGCGTAAATATGTGAGGAAATTGCTTTACAATTACCCTAACAATATATGTGATTATTCCGTTGCTAAATTACTTACAAGAAATTTCGTCACTTCTAACGGATTACGTACAAGTCTGCTGCAAGCCACAGACGCCATTGGGGATCGAAAAAAAACAAACAGTAATTAACAAAAGAATGACGAAATTGACTAGTGAACTTTTAAATTAATCAAAATGTAGATATAGTTCCAATTAGAAACTTGCTGAGCGTCATCGAAATCAGTCGATCTTGGGAAAACGTACCGCACGTATAAAGCTTGAGTGTATGCTAAAGCTTCCAGTCGTGCAGCAGACGGAAGCCTGCAGCAATTCGAAAACGCGGATGATGAGGAAATCATAAGTCATCCGTGTTTTCTTATCGCTAGCCTTCAGCCTGCTGCCACGAGTGGGAACTTTACCACAATTCATGCGTTCTTTGTGTCCTCCTGAAATTCACTGATATAGGGGCTTCTATGACGCTCAGCAAGTGTATAATTGGAGCCATAGCTTTATTTCCACTAACTAAAAATATCATTAGTGAATTGTAGTTAATTATTTAGCGAATGAGTGTTTTTCTTTTTGCAATCTATGACGTTCGCCGTGGCTGGCAGTTTGTTTCGGAAAAGGGTTTCTTTTCTTTCTTTCTTTTTTTTTCAACATCACGATTTTTAGGGATTTTTAAATAATCTTGGCCAAACAACCGGTCTAAATGGTCGTAATCTTCTGGCTCAGTTTTATGTTCAGGTTTAAACGAAGCACGTACTTTAGTGAGCTGCATCTTCTTAGGTAAGGAACTCCAAAGTTATAAATAAAATGCATATATGGAATGATTAAATCGATTTAACACTTTAGCTTAAAATCACACGCATCCGTAGATCTTTTTTAAAGCTTGAAAGAGAAGAACGATCGCCATTTTCGTCAGTGGAAAAAGGGTGCTGAGCGACTTTGAGGTTCTTAAAATATTTGACGAAGCTCCTTTTCAGTAAATGCTATTTTCAGTAATGACAAATATATATTGAATATTGACTCAGGTTCTAGATAATTTAAGACGTCACCTTTCACACGCCAATGTTGAATATTATCCCAGGCTAAGGTGATCTTAAACTCGCCATTCTGACACAGTTTTTAATTAGTTTTTTAGGTGTGCCTTATTTAAAAAATACATTTATGGTTTCTTTTAATGGCAGGGTGGCCTTTTAAACATTCTTAATGAAGTAAGCGAAAAAAATATTTAACCACCTCATAGACCGATCTGACTAAAGCCAGAGTCTGCAAACGGATTCCAACGCAAGTCACCACGAGATCCGTACTTAGAATGCCGCATGACACCGGCTTCAAAGTAAACCTCGGCACACGGCATTCGAATCCCGGATATCGCGGTGACTGACGTCTGCAGACTATATTTTGAATGATGTATAGATATTTCCAAAATATTGGCTCCTGGACGGTTCTGCGTGCAATGTCAGCGTTCGTGCGTACTGTGCGTGATTAGCTCGCTTTCCGAAGCAGCGAACAATCCTGGGTTGAGGAGATCCCACGCTGGGCTGAGGACTAGTAAATATTGGAATGGTGCATGAGCAGCATGCACCATTCCAATATTTAAAGTTTTGCACGCATGCGTGACGCCGCCACAACTGTAGTCATAGCATCCTCTATACTCACAAAGCCTGGCAGTTCGACAACGGAGCCATATAGAGCCCGGTCGCAGATTTGGAGCGTGAGTATCTGGCAACACAGAGCATCGAAGAGCCATGTTTCGGGGAACCTGGACGTCAGCGCACAGCTTTGCAGCTGCGAGGACCCGAAACACACATCGTTCGCTCCGGGGAAGTGTGTTGCGGCGTCTCGCCGCAGCGGGGCACCAGTCACGTGGTTCTCCTCTCATCCGTTGTCTGCCGCTCCACCTTTTCCATTTCGGCGGCCACTTCTCGTGGCGATCTGCCAGGTTTTGTCCATATAGAGGAGGCTATGAACAGTCGTAAGTCAGAATATTTTGCGACAGGTTACGAAACAAAGGGCGTTGCCTAGGTTACGATCACCTTTGGGGTTGGCTCTTCGGCATTTTTATCAGCTAACACCGCAATCCCATTGGCCGAGAAACAATGACAAGATGCTTTCGACACGCCACCCCGTGCGCTTTTTAAGTTGTCCGCGAGTATCAATGCTTTTTAACATACCAGGTGTCATTTTTTCAAAATAAAATTTACTGACCGGTGGTTTTTGTGCTGGTCGTCCGTTGGTTACTTGCCTAACATTTCTGGGAAGCTGTTCTCTAGCATTCGAAATTACCTCGCCCGCCTTGACATTATTGCGTTGTACTTTGTAGTTTAAAACAAAACAAACGAAATTAACGTTGGTATTGACGCCGTAGTTGGTGCGGATCACGCTCTTAAAATATTCGCATTTAAAATCATCAACAAATCACGCGAGTGGCACAATATTTTGAGTAAAGAATTTTTTTTTTTCTGAAAAAGTAGGCTGAAAAGCCCAAGTAGAGACAAACTTAGCCTTCGCTTCTTTGGGCGGGGCCTTCGTATCTTAGTCCTAAGCTGTCATACAAGTCCCAAAGTTAGCCTTCATTGCTGGTAGTAGTTTGCTTTCATCAGGCATCTTAGGGCCTAAATCAGCAAACAAGTGATGGCGTTATGTCTTCACTTTTTTGTTGTTCGATTTTCATCTGGCAAATTTGGGCCTAAACTGCCAAGTAAGTGCCAGATTTAGGCTTCACTGCTGGTACACTAAGTAGGAGAATCGTTTCATTTATTTGATTAAAAAACGCAAACAATATTTTGTTTAAGAAAAAATTTGAGGGTACTTCGGTTCATACATGGCATCTTTGGCTCGGCTAATTTTACAGTATATAATTTGCCACCATAACACAACACTTAAAAATGCCACCACTTGCATTTTGTTTTCAAGATTAGACAAGTCACGTAAAATTTAACCCATCTATGCATCGACCACTTCATATACTAACTCATCGACCTTCTGGTGATCTCGGAATGAAACGGCTTACCAGACTCCATAGTCACTGCCAAAAACACCGATCATTTCAAAGAGCTTCTAACTACCTACCTTACGTTACACTAACGCATCTGATATTCATAGGTTATAATTTGAGTATACTTATTATCTTGCTTTCCGAGTGTCTGTACTGTACATGAATTGACATCTGTATTGGACATAGAAGAGTACTAAATTCAGTATAGCCTATCGTGCGTTTTACTGAGTGCTTGCCTTTGTATTTGTAGTTGTATTACCATCTGTATTTTCTAATAAATTTACTTGTTTGAGTTACTCTGGCACTAACTAGCGCAAGAGTGCAAAACCGTATTAGGCTCGAGTTAGTTTTCTAGGATGGCCTAGATTGTGCAGAGTAAGGTGTCCTGGTGTAAGTAAGGTGTAAAAAAAATGGGCAGCGCCATTTTTTTTTTTGGCTATTCAATACAGTTTACATACAAGCTTGTGCGACACCGCTAAAAGATTACAGATTTTGTATACTATACTGTTCACCTTAAGGCTGACAGCGAGCTGGGAGGTACGCGTTCGCCCAACCAATGAACCGCCTTTCTTTCATGACCCCACCCCGCTCTTTGCACGCGGCTATGGAGGAAAGCGTGATCACGTGACGAAAGATGGACGTTTGACCGGTCCAACAAGTTCGTAACTTCCGCCGCACTGTCAGCTTACGGGTGAATGGAGTTTAGTTTCGGTTCTCACACGCTGTTCTGTTCCTTACGTACCTTGAGCCTTCTCGGAAAAGATTATTCCTACATAACCCCCTAATACATGGCCAAAGCGATCACCATGGCAGGTTCAGTGGCGCTCGAATGGTCAAAGCGTAGCTTGATATACAGTAAATATGTATGGTGATGAGGTATACTTACCATGAGTAAATATGTATTGTGGTGAGTTACTTACCATGAGTGAGGACCACCACAAGGGCCAGAACGACTATCACACCGCTGGATGTCATGGTCTGTAAAACATGGAGGACCAACCAACTTGCGTCACGGGATAACAGATATATCGCAAAAGCTGCTACTGCACGTAAATGGCGTTGGAGCGAGTCACACACGAAACGAAATGTTTCGTGTGTGACTAAACCTAAACCTTTATTTATTCTTACATAAGATAAAGCACATATCCCAGCTGTCCTTGCTTACGTGCCGTGAGGCATTGGGTTCTTACATGTATAAATATTAGCCACAAATTTCAGTCTTTTTTTTTTTTTCTTTAACAAAAGGGAACATAGGGATATAAAGAGTTGGGCTAGTTCGTAGCCTTTCATGTGACCAACACCGCGAATTAAACACGGATGAGCGTAATGAGCTGACAGGGGCAGTACTTGGCCCTCACTACTCTGCTCCTTCGTTATAATTCAATTCGTTATAACTGTACCATAAAAACGGCGTAAGAACTTAAAGAAAGGTAACTATACCTTACTTACCACCAAATCTGACGTGACAGCCCCAACGTCAAGCCAGACTCGAAATGGTCCTTAGCACTCAACGACCACACTACCTTCTCATCGCCAGATTCGCCACCCTCTGAGCTCCCACCTACCTCACACAGGTGTTGACAACCATAAACCAAACACCAAACAAGCTAAAAAAGAAAAAAAAAGCGACCACTCACGGCGATTCGATACCAGCGACCAGTTGTGAAACGGGATGAAGACCGCTCGAGTCCAACCGACAACAAGCGCGTTCTTCTCTCGACTCGTTGGCTCCCAGAGAAAGCAGACGAGCATATCTTCTACCACTCTTTCTCCGCGCCTCCCTTCCCCTCTTACGCCAGCCTTCGCACACTCTTCAGCGGGTCTCCAGACGGGAATCCGGGCCTAAGCTCTGCTGGGAGCTGACTCGTATCTGTAGTATATCGGGTTCCGATTGCCGGGTCGGGTCGGGCAAAAGTTATTTCGTTTTCTTTTTTTTTTCTTTTCTTTTTTCGTGTTTTGGTTCGGGCGAGCAAAGTCGAGTAGTCTAAAGTGCGCCGTACCCAGTGTCTGGACACTGCTAGTATTTCTTACCATCCGAGATTCTATTGGAGATACAGATCTCGTCTAGGTCAGGGCTCGAACCAAATATATTAACGGTTCGGTTACGGTTAGAGTTATCGTTATATTTATAAATTAGATTTTTGCTTCGTATTGTTGTTGCTGTTCCGGTTTTTATATTTCAATTACCGATTAAGCGTACCTCAAAACCGGCTTCTTTTTGGTCGAAAAAAAAGAAGAAAAGGCTGAAAAGTGAATGGTTCGTCTCCAACTTTAAACCATCTTCCTTCACAGAAATTCGTTTCTATTCTCAATACTTGATTCCTAATAAATTGTATCAAATAACCCTTTTATCACACAATGTGTCGGCGAAACTCACGGTTACAAGTATTCGAAAAGGATGTCGCCTCTCCTGATCCATCGAGTTATCTCAACTCCTTTCTTTGGGACACACACACACACACGCACATACACACATACACAAACGCACACACGCGCGCGCGAATGATTTCAGTTCGATTTAATAATTTAAACAAAACTGTCTAAAATATCAATGCTATGATTATACAAGTTCGAAGGGTCTCATACAAGAAATAATGGGCAAACACTCCCTGGGTGCCGCGGGCCGCCCGCAAGCTCGCACTCCCAGCAACACGAATCCCGAACCCCGCCGAACCTCGCAGGTCGCCGTGCGTAACCAGATCTCGCTGGTTGCCTTCTCGCGGACGAGCGTTGGCGTGGCTTCTCACGGTGCAAGTTGAACTTCATGCCTGGCTCTTGGGTTCGCTGATCCTTGAACATGTAAGCGGAGAATCCGTTGCCGTTGTACCGAAAGAATATCGCAACTCTCGGCGGAGGCTTGTCTAAACATCGGGGTCAGTCACGTACGAGAACAACGATGGCTTGGGTTCACGAATACCCCCCATGCAGCACAAAAAATACATCACCAAGAAAAAAGAAAACCGTCGTACATTCCATCGAGGCGTGCGGATCATAATAAAGTATGTTTTGAAATAAAATATATAATATATAAATAAAAGAAGAGCATTATACATACCCTATGAAACTCGTGGTTCGGGTGGGACCTTTCTCTCTGCGCGCGAACAACAGTTGTTTGGCTTCAGGCTTTTATTTCGAAGATTTTCCGAGAATATTCGGAAAGTTTGAACAGATCTGGAGCTTTCTGGTTCTTTTGGCGTCCACCTGGATAATCGGTGGAGGAATGTTTCATCAAATTTTTAAGCAGCGGAACTAAGGTGGGCTTTGCTCATTGTTTTTATGAACCGGAAGTTCGCTGGGACGTGAAAGACAGGAGCACCGCCTGGTGGCATTTGCAAAGAAAGAGGTCCATACCGGCTCATATCGAATAGCACTGCTCATTTTTAACCTTCGTAGTGGAAATTCGATTCAAACCGGACTATACATATTTTGGGCATTTTTATTCACCGAGATTCCTTCGTGGATTGCAGCGAACAGCGAATCACGTAAAAGGTCACGCCCTGCGTTTCTCAAGCTGTCAGTGAGTGCAGATGCTGGCAAAGTGTGTCCTGTGATGCCACACTAAGCGCGTCTGATAACAGGCGGTCTTCCTTTTGAATCTCGAATAAAAGCAGCCCGAAAAAAATGAAGGGCCAGTCAACGAAACTGAACAGAACGAGCTTGCTTGTTCTGTCTAGTTTCTTTGACTCGTTTTTGTTGTTGTTGTTTATTGCTGTTTTTTTTTTTCTTTTTTTAGGTGCATTACCAACTAGCCCAAGTGTGTACTATACCCTGTTGAATCGCTCACCTCTCTTACACTTACCAACCACTATACTCGCGCGAGCTTGTTGGTGCGTCCAAAAGTCAGCGGTGTCCGGACACGCGGTGTTATTGCTATGCTGGCTGCGGACAAGGCACAGTGCAAAGGCATTGTATCTAGGCTTCGTTTTCAGCTTAAGTCCAGACGCACCAACGCAACGAGCTAATGATACCAATCAAGCAACGTTGAAAGCGAAAGTCACTGGGCCGGTTTTTGTTCATGATTGGTTCAGTGATGATCGAAGACCTAGAGATAGATGACGAACACCATGATGGTGTGCTATTGACGCCGCCCGATTGGTCCCATCAACTCGTCGCGTCGGCTGCGTGTAGGTAATACCTCTTATAGATAAGAAAGTGGTAGTGGTGCATTTATGTCGTCACTTTCATTCGAGATGCATCGCCAAATACCCCCGGTGGGTTCATTCCCAAGTGCTCAACTCTAGAGTGCCTGGAACGCGCCTCCGTAAAGTGACTACGGCATCCTAAGCGGAGGGCAAGTTCGTCTGCTTCGTTTGAAGCGGTTGTGGTGACGTCAGAACGCCGAGCTCTGATTGGACTCTGATTGAATGATAGGGGGTAGACCTCAAGGCAGCTTCGTTTGAGGTCTACCCACTTTCCTTCAATCATGACGTCAACGCAACCCCTGCAAAAGATGCAGACGAACTTGCACTCCGCATTCCGCCCGTGCATAGAAGTGGCCTCGAAGTGCGGCAACACAAGGCATCGTTATCACCATTCTGCCATGCATATTTCTTGCGTTATCTGGTATTGACAATGAGTCTATCGTTGCCGATAGCCAAGGGTTAACAAAGGCAGAGACGATCGAGTCTCATCGGGTGCTTTCGTGCAGTGATTCGTGCGGCCGGCGTTGGGAGAAGGTGACGTTGCACGCCCCTTGTCCTGGCAAACCAGATCTTCGATGGTGAAAAGAAATATGGTAAGCGTGGCGTCGTTTTATTGTTTATACAGTCCGCCGGAATTAATAAACGAACAAAATGAGGAGCAACTCTGAACGACCATTTTGAAGACCGACATATAAGAGGAGGTGACCGTGATGTGCTTGACTGGTTTTATACTGAATAAAAATAAGGAATAATGTACATTAATTTATTTTTTATATATTTTAGCTTGCTGCCGCATTTATTTGTTCTCTCATCCTGAAATATTTTTAGCGTTCGAGCTTGCAGCTTCACACAGAAAAAACAAAACAAAAAACAACGATATATCCTTACATCCCTTGTCACATATATTACACTCAAAAACTTCAGTTCGGCGTACTGCTTGCTGGCGTTGAGCCGACGGTACCAACTTTCACGAGCGACTTGATGGCCGAGTTGTCTAAGTTATTAAAACAGGTAATGCACGCGTGACTGACTGCAAGAAAAGTAATCGTTTTTTTTTTCTTTGCCCTATTGCAAAATTGTAATGCTTTTTTTCTTGTAGACTTTGATACGTATTTTTTTTGTTTAATATGTTATTTCCCACCGTCATGAGGCCTCTCGGAAAATATGGGTCCGTCGGTTCGATGTCAGTGCGCTATACGTCGAAATGAAATTTTGGGGTCTCTTATACGTGACAAGGGGTGCAATGGCTACACTCTTTTTGTATCGAGTGTTAAAAGGGCCGGCAGTCGTTCGTCGATGCACAATTGGATTTTTGCTGCGTTTGATGATAATACTGGTTATTGTGGAACATGAAAGTTTGCCAACATGAATGGGCGTCATGCATGTGCAGCCTTCATTGCACGAGTTGAGTTTTGAAGGTAGTCTTTTAGAAGGAGCCGTCACACAATAGTAAGGGACGGAAACTGCATATTCGGGTTAATGTAAAACCCTACCAGTGAGTGAAAGTTTGAACCAGCAGATAGCGCTCTGTGCCACAGCCAGGTACACACAGGTCGATTATTAAATGGCGTAGCCGGAATATAGACGTTTCTAAGCCGCTGTGCCTGGGCGCCGCCATGATCGACCTTCAGTTTTTGTTTCCTCTGGTTCCGTTTACTTCACTTCATCATTACCATAGCAGGCCAAGTTATTGCAATTTTAGATTCTATTGTGTCCTCAGCATTGACCTCTATAGAGGCTCGTCAACGCCAGTTTCAGTGGTCCGGTATATCAGTAAGGGAAGACAAAGTCAGCATTGGCGGCTGTAATCCGGCGCGTGATTTAAGTGTTTATTTATTATCTCGATAAAAATACCTTTGCCTCTTAGGAAGTATTTTTTAATAATATTTCTGAGAAGATGAATGTTGAAACAATATACATATATTCGACATTTCATTATTAGGCTATAACTTAGATAAATGCTCTTTACTTTTACGTCAGCTTCAGAGCTGTGCGAAAGACGCCCAGAATGTTAGCAGAAAGAGGCACTCAATGAGTAAATAAGCTAGCGTTCAGAAGAACGTCACCGCAACCATCCTGTTGCTCAAAATCGTTGTTCTCAGTTATCTGTAGCTTTATCTCGAAGCGCAGAAAACGCTTATCCCTTCCGCCAGAAATGTTATAACAAAGAGATATCCCTTGAGCTTTCTGACACCGTATCTATGCGGAGAGTGAGTCGTCTGGTTCTTGCGCAGGGGTTTCGGTGACGTCAGAGCAACGCCGAGCTCTGATTGGCTTGGATGGAAAGGATAGTGGGTGAACCTTAATGCTAGATGCCTTGAGGTATACCCACTATATCTTTTTTTCAATCAGCCAATAACAGCTCAGCGTTCTGTCATCATCGCAACCCCATGTTCAAGAAGGAGCCGAACTTTCGCTCCTCAAATAGCTCGAATCGCAACCACCGCCAATTGCACCCGCCCTGCACCGCGAAACAAGATGGCGGCGCCCATAACACATTCGAGGAATAAAGTACCGATTCTTTGAAGCGGAGCTGGTTTAGTAGCAGACAGCCAAGAAACGAAACGATACAATCGGTGGAGTTTGGCTTACGGCTTAACCGTGTCGGGCTCACCGCGTTGCGTTCTATACTAAGCTATTAAAAATAACAAACGGAGGGTGTTGGTGAATGCTTAGTCCCTGACATCTTAAGAAACGCCAGACGAGGCCAATTATACTCGCACTTCTTGCTTCCCGATTATACGTTTTCTCGATGATAAGTTTTCCTGATGAAACGTTTTCCTGATTATACGCTTTCCGGTGTTCTTCTCAGTTAAAAGGGAATTTCAGAAAACCGTTTTTGCACATCCGATACGGTACGAAGGGCCCTCCGGTAGAAACTGCGCATGTGGGAGTCTTCTGCAGTTGCACATGCGCAGTTCGTACCGGAAGGCCCATCGTACCGTATCGGATCTGCGAAGACGGTTCCCTAAAAGTCCCTAATGCCGCAAAACGGAACGATAACAACATTCACGGGTCTCACCATGTTCTGCGTCTGTTAAGCTGTCAGAGATCCTGCTAGTAAAAGACAAACGAACAAAAATGCTATCACGATCTGTTCACAGGTTCTCTTGGTCGGGGTGGTCTACCTCGCGGCCCTCACACTGGCTGTGAAAGCCAATGGTATAGTATTCACTACCTTATTTCGTGAGATGGCTTCGTGTTCTATAGTTGAGTTCTGACTTTTGCTATTTGACAGTGAAATTTTGCTTATTTCAACTGAATAACAAAAATTTGCTACGAACGATTCGTCACGTGCCACTTGAATTACAGCTTACGTGTTTGGTGTGGTAATTACTATGATTAGCAAACTAATTCCCTAAATCAGAGAATTAGGCAGTAGAGACTAGACTTTATTTCCAGATGCCAAAGCATCCGTGCAACAGACGTGACTGCAACAGACGTCATATAGTCTGGGAAATTATGCAGCTTGTATAAACATAAATAAATCGGTTTTGTTTGAGAAAAAGGTGATTCGCGTCGTAGCCAATGCTTTATATTACTCGCACAACCCCTCTGCTATAAATATAAAGTCACGAGAACAAATATTACAATTATACACTTGCTACAATTTCTGCAATATTTTTTTTAATTTAGAAATCATCCGTGACAACGAAGTGATAATCTAATTGAAAAGAGTATTATGCCGGGTCCTGGAGAGTGCCGCGTCCTAGAAAAAAACTACGGGCTGCAGATGCCTCAGTGCACGCTACCCATCCCCTTGAACTTTTAGGACGATCAAAGTGTTCATGTCGAGCTTACAAACAAGAACGCGTTATACCAATCTTTTTCTCTTACCACGCATTGTGTGTCCCTTATATAACTCGTTAATTCCTGATGAAATGTGTTATCACATGTTGTGCCCACCAAGCGGGCAAGTGTTGGGGGCATCCGACCTGTCAGAGCTGAATTAATAGGGAATTGTAGTAGAGCGTTTCTGCAGCCCGCTAAGCACCCGGATAGAGCTCCATAATCCGCCACAAGACCTTGAACTATGCAGACAAGGCTAGCGGCGCGCATGCGCAGCTGCGGCGTTTTCTTCGGGGATATCGTAGCGGAGGAGAAAAACGATCTACTACAACTCTCTATTGTAGCTTTTTCCCCTGTCCCCTGTCTCCCTCCTTTTGTACTCTAGAAGTAAACATAGATTGAAATTGAATTCACTGCTCGTCCAGAGCCGAGTGCAATGTGTCCGGACGGCGGCATCTGCCCCGAGGGTCAGACTTGCGGCGACGTCGGCGACGGCCGCTACGCCTGCTGTCCCTACAGCAATGCGGTCCCTTGCGGCGACAAGTTGCACTGCTGTCCCCAGGGACACCTGTGCCATCTGTCCACCGGAGCCTGCGTCGGAGACCTCGGGACCTTGGCCATGGTTAGGTATCAACATGCCACCGAGATCCCCAGCGGAAACGCAGATTGTGACGACCGTACGAGATCTTCAGTTCTACTTGTAATCAAACTGTTCGATATGGTATATGTTATTTCTTCACCCTACGATAGACCGCAGCGGAATGCTGCGAGCCAACGAAGCCAACACGATGCAGTGCTAGTGTTACGTGACCTTCGGGAGGGACACAGCGACGCGCGAGGCACGTTGTCACGTGACACGTCTGCTGGAGTTGCTGGGATACGTGGTACATTCGCTGCATTCGCTGGATTGGCCGCGATGGCTCGTATAGGGTCTGCGGTGGACTATCGTAAGGTGAAACGTTGTATACACCAATTCATGTTTACAAACAAACCGGAGCGCCCCTAGCGGACGCCACCGGCACCGCGCATGCGCGGTGGATGGTGGGCAAGAAGCCTGCCGTCGCCCATAAACAAACCATTGAATTGCGTTGTTGTCGGCATCGGTGGGAGTCCCCGTGCCCTTTTTCGCGTTGGAATTGTTGATGCTACGTCCTCCTAACAATGTCTGACTATTTGAGCGGCTTCAGCAAAACTAACGAGGCAAAACTTTGCGTGAATAATGTGACGTGCGCCGATTCATTTCACTTAGACGCCGCAGAATGGGCGCTAAAGCCTGACTCCCACGATGAGATTCTGCTCGCTATTTACAGTCGCGACGTCGCTCGGACTTCAAAAGCGCGGACCGTAGCTGAGATGGTGGACGTCGATACTGAAAACCGCAAGTAGAATCGGGCATTACAAGTCGGTGATGGCCACTGGTAACAATAATGATAAACATCTGCTTGTATCTGTTTACACTTAGCCTACTTACCCCAACCAACCTTCAAAAGTGTTTTGAGGCCTGCACTTAGTTCTTATCGCAATTACCGGGTCAACGTTTGGTTTCCGGGCCGCTGTCGTTTGGACGAGCTGACGACAAAAAGCAGCCAAGTTTGAAATTGCAAACGACAGTTCGAACGCATGCGTAATGGGGTACGGGCAAGAAGCACCGCGTCCCGCGTCAACAAACCACTCGAATGTCACGTTGTCGGAGTCTGTGTGAGTTTGCCTACTTTTTTTCGCGTTGGAGTTGTCGATTCTACGTCCTCATCGCAATGTCTTACCACTTTAATCGCTTAAGCGAAATTATCAAGGCTCGTTACGCCGCTAAACTTTCCGTAAATAATTTGACGTGCGGCGATTCATTCGCATGAACGCCGCAGAATGGACGCCAAAACCATGATGAAATTCTTCCAGCTATTTTCGGTAGCGACGTCGCTCGTGTTGCAAAAGTGTAGAAGGTAGCGGCGATGATCGACGTCGATACTGAAAATCGGAAGCGGGAACAGACCAAGCGTAACAAGTCGGTGATGACCACCGGTACCAATGATCAACATCTTGTATCTTCTTTTTACACCGAGCCTACTTAAGTCTTTTGAGGTCTGCAATTACTTCTTATTGCAATCACCGGGTCAAAGTTTGGTCTACGGGCCGCTTTTGTTTGAACGAGCAGACGACAAAAAGCAGACGTTTGAAAGAGCAGACGAAAGTTTGAACGATCAGGCGGCCGTGTGAATTTGAAGACGGACTGAACCCGTGGGTGGTTCGGACAACTTGGCGGTTTTTTCTTGTTTATGTTGGAACAAAGCAAATACATCTGGCGACCACAAAGTGTTGCCCGCGCACGCGATTGTAGTTCGACAGCGTCTAGTTTGCCCTTTTCACGGCTACTATCCACGTTCTCGGACGAACGGAGGGGGCAAAAACACATGAAAACTGATCTTCAAACCTTTCCAGACTCTCTTGGTACAACCACCGTCGCAGCATTTTGACGAGAAAGCAGGTTTTTTGTCTCGTTTCTTCCAAGGGAACACAGGAATGCATGTCTGGCACCGCGACTTCTGCCCACCGCCACAGACCGGAAGTGCGTCCGGCGCGCCACCACCGCGGCGTGACGTAGGAGAGTTGAGTTGGTGTATAGTTAGGAGCACTGCATTGGGTTCGAGTGCGTCTGCAAGTTCTTAACGAGGAACGATCTTGTAGTAGACAGCGTGCAACGTACGGATAAACTCAGTTCAAAGAAAACAAAAACAAATTTTGAAAAAAAAAATAATAAAAACGAGTTAGAGGTGAATCCTAGCGTATTTTCGTCCCGTGAATTCCAATACCATTTTACGCGTACGTATCAATTGACAGGGGAAAAACAGAATCGCTGTCTGTGTCGTCATACAAAGAGGTTCAACTGCCATGCGCTTGCTGCTTGGGAGAGAACGCGTCCATCTTTTTTGACTGCTCGGGTGAGGCTTGCGGAATGCGCGGAAATGTTGAGATCTCCGTACAATACGTCACGATTATCTCCTCCCACCAAACGCGCCGGGAAGAAAAGGCTTCAGCGCTGTTTTCGAAGTTACGTTGTGGCTAATTGGTGCATCGGACTGAAGTATAAATTTGATATTCGTGATCGTAAAAAAAGAAATAAAGAGTGTTTTTTGTTTGTTTGTTTTTAATGCAGATTCTCTTAAGTTTTCGTTTAAGGAACTACCCATAGATTTACCTCCCGTTATTCGGGGACGGTTGCTACATACTGTACTCAATGGGAAAGACAGGTTTTGAAGAGCAGCGTCTAGATGGCGCTTCACCGTATGGCCTCTCCGAAGAATGCAGTATTCTATAGATGGCGCTTCTAACGACTGTTTGTGGGCTTGAGCGGGATCGGGGGACACCCCACACTGCGGGAGTTCCGTAACTGAGTAGAATACTTTACTATTGTCACTGACGAAGTGAGAAGGGCGGAGAGGAGCTTCAGTTGTTCCGCCTTCAGTGAGAGCTTCCTACCCTGAACAACGTTTCGGCGTCTGGTGCACCTCGAGCGCAGCCAAAGCGCGGTGGAAGTCATGGACTGCGTGCTAGAGGCCTGGCGTTCAAAAGGCACCCTCTGCCGTTCTCACTCTGTAAGTGACTATGGAAGAATACCATTTACTCTGCTCACTTGCATTATGCAGCGCACCTACAACACCAGTTCAACTACTCTACTCAAGTTACTGTAGTTCAACTACTTTTCAGAGTAGTTTCGCAACTTTCAATTACATTTTTATTTCGGTAATTATTAGTTTACTTTAATTACTTTTTCTGAGTAACTTCTACTCAAATTACAAATTACTTCCAAATTTTAGTGGTTGTTTTGCCTATCAACAAACATTCCTGCACAAACGAGGCGAGATGATACAAGATCAGCTGCGATTTGCAAAGAGGGTGAAGCATGTGGCGTAGAAAAGGGGGGGGGGGGGGGGGAGAAAATGGTTTGGAGAGTCCGAAACCCCTCAAAACTTTTACGAGCCCCCCACTGCAACAACACTGCTGCGGGGAATGTACAGACACGACGCAAGAGAGCCCGAGTAGCTGTGGGATTGGCACCGAAGACTGGCATTTCTTTGTGTCCCGAAGCTCCAGGAGACTTAACTCGTTTGAAGAAAGGGCTGGTCCCCGCTTCTAACCCACGTAGAAACTTTCGCTCACTACAGGAAGTGCATACACCGCATCCTCACTCAAAGGAGGCAACAAAATGAAGCACCTGCTCTGAAGCTCATCTGGTGCTCCCGTAGTTTGTGATGTTCTCGAAGAATCGCGTGCTAAAGGGCAATTAAAAGGCGACCTTTTGCGTTGCCTTTCCTCCCAAAACTCAGAATATGAAGATATTCAAAGGTTCGAAGATCGTTCGAAAAACCTTAGTAATTCCCCCAACGTTTTTATATCAAAAAGAATAATGTAGCAGTGTTGGGAATTGCTCTAAGTACATGGTACTCAAAACACTACTGTTTACAAAACTTGTACCTTACTTGAAGTACATTCTCTGAGCACGTACTCGTACTTTCCGAGGAAAGCAAAACTCCCGACTTCAATGTACATTCGAAGAATTTGAAAACGAAAATTGGCGTATCATCGTGTGAAAACGCGCTCTTTCGAGACGTCATCTCGTCATTTCTCTGAGTTAACTAAAGCGGCTATAAGACCGACACAAATAAGCGCCTTATAAGTTGATTGCGTCAAATAGCTCGTCAGCGAGAGTAAAACAACTACTCTGTGGCGACTTGAATTTATACAGTATTTGCTGCCATTCCCGTAAAAAACAGATGCACCTCCGATTACCCCTAGAGCATTGCATACCAGTTAAAAAAAAACACTGTATAGGAAATAAAAGGGCATCATGAAAGATTCTGTTAAAAGTACTTGTATTTTACCTTTAAAGACATTGTATTTGTAGTACGTTACTTTAAGTATATTGTACCCGCTGTACTTACTAATTCACTTGAATTACATAACCTCTCATTTACTTTGTACTTCAGTTCAAGTACATTTTCGATGCACTTTACGCAACGCTGTAAAGAAGCAAAAACGTTCTAAAAAATCAAGCTCAGGCAGTGCTAAACCTCAATTTAGAAATAATACATTCGTAGTACATCATTGACCAAACAAACCAGAAAGTACAAAACAATTAGGCACGCACGAGCAGAACCAGCTATTAAAGCAGTTCTGTGAAAAAACAAGCCGATTCATATTTGGCTGGCAAAATTGCACTAACGGGTCAAAACCTATGTACTTTCTTTTTACCATAAAAAACAAAGAAAAGTAACTTCAAAAGTAATTCGCTACTGTTTTACGGTAATTTGTACCTTTTCTCAATTACCTTCCATTTGAGTAATATCTACTCTACTCAAATTACCTTTGACGTCAATACTCAATAACTTCGCTTAATTACTTTTCTTTTAGTAACTTGTACATGTTTGCTTGTATCGTACAGCTTTACTGTTGGAAGGATCTGGCAGCACCAATGTTTATTGTGCCCAATATGGGAGCGCTTCCGTTTGCCATTTTAAGGGCAGGCGCTCTCCTATGGTTTAGGTTGATCCCTCTCTTAAATCTGGGCTCTCTAATACACCGGCGAACCGTAAATTACATTGCATAAAAGACAAATCAAGAACAGAGATAATGAAAGTGAGAGAGAGAGGATTAATGCTCGTTTTTTCTCCTTCTTTTCAATGCAGCCAGCACAGTGATGTGCCATAATCACCAGTACTGCGAGAAGGGCACCAAATGCTGCAGAACCAACGAAGGTTTCGAGTTTTACTACTGCTGCCGGTACCAGAACGGCACTTGTTGCTTAGGCAATACCTTCTGCTGCGACACGGATTACGTTTGCGACTTGAAATACAACATCTGCAGGCTCAAGGGTTCTCACACCGCCCACGTTCGGGGCCTTAGCGAGCTCCAGAAGGACCCGGCAATTCCGAAGAGCCTTGGGATGCCAACCAAGTCCAACAGGGCAAAGACAGGTACGAATCAAACTAATGGCGAATTCCACTGGTCGTTTTTGAGCGCGCCGGATCAGCAGACCAGATCCGAGATAGAGCACGCGATTCGAACGCAGTCGCTCCGCTTCCTGATACCCATTGGAACATGATCCCTCCCCTGGATCGGCGGATGCCTTCCCGTCATTCACCTTCCCGGGAATCCCCCTCCCGCTGTCCCGGATCTCGAAGCACATGTTTTCGCAGTCCTTTTTTAAAAACTCCTTGTTCAACGCATGAACGAAGTTAATCATGACGTGAAAGATGAGTGTCGATAAGCGATGTGCACCACCATCGCCCATTTGCCTCTTCATCAAAATATTCGTGAACGGTGTCGGGGGGGAAGTACGCCCCATGCATGTTTGTCCTCTTCTCCGGAGGTCCGAAAAGGTAGTCGAATTCATGCACGACACACAAGCAATCTCGATCGTCGTCGCCACTACTCGAGCCGCTGACGCTGGAGGGGCTGCTCGAGCAAGTTGACGACGGTGTGTAATCAAGCAGCAGCAGCAATAAATCGGGCGGCACTTCGCGAGCTGCCATTGCGAATTCTTCGAAAAGACAAGATGCCCGGCGAGAAAGGAAGTCCCGTGTGCTCGCCGAGGTCTGGCTGCAGGCTGGCCTCCGTCGAATACGTCGAAATCGGCGCAGCGAATTTTCCCGAATCCGGATCGAGATCTGGAGTGGGAACTGATCCAAAACGACGTGTGGAAAACGTCCGTCTCGATCCCTATCGCCCAGTGAAATAGGCGCATTCCAGAAAAGTCGATCCCGGCGCGCTCCAAAACGACAAGAGGAATTCGCCTTAACACCGCGCTTAGTCCGGTGACCATGGTGACCAAGCAGCCTGCTTGTTTTCTGGCCCATGACTGCGTAATGGCCCCTTCTAAACTCTAAGGCCGGAGTTGCACTGCACATACATCATACAAAAGAGGGTCTGCAAACAAGACTCACCGCACTATCCGTGGTTAGAATGCCCCGTGCCAAGTTTCTCCTTGAACTCGTCACGATGCGGCATTCGAATCGTGGAGATCCCGCGGTGACTCGCGTTCGATTCTGTATGGAGACTTTCTTTTGTATGTTGTATAAGCAGTGTGCCCTCGGCTTCAAGACCGACGACCAGTTCGCGCTTTCCTCTTTCCCCCCGCTTCCTCCTTTCCCCCTTTTACCCTGTTCACCATTGCCTGTTCCCTCCTCCCCTATGGTAAGGAGGATCTTCTGCCTTGCAGAATCTCGAGTCTGGTCGTCGGCCTTTAAGAAAGCTGGAGCATCCACGTACCCGCAAAGCACTTAATAAAACCAGAAGGCATACAAAAAATCGTTCAGCCTTTCCACTCTCGTGAAGAAGGAAGACCAGCGGTGCTGTACTCGATACTGTGTGCTTCTTCTTCGTCGTCGTCTGTTTTTCGCGCTGTTTCCTAGGATGAATTCCCACCAACGCGCCCAACTATCCATTCTTCTATTATAGCTGGAAAGGTTGACGCCATCTACGAGCGACGGCAGAAACCATACTGGTTGTGTGCTTGCCGCCGTCGCTTATAGATGGCGGTAGCTGTCCAGGTAGGTTTGTGTCGACATACACGGACACGATCCTGGGGAACCTATAGCCCTTAACAACTCCGCTGTAAAAAAAGCACCATGCTCAGCGTTACCTTCTAAACAGTTTTTTTGTTGTTGTTGTTGTTGCATGTCTAAATATAAATTTGGCGTTGTCCTTGGGCGAGCTGCCTCCGTAGGTTGGCGCGATCGGTTTTTCAAGTACTTTGCGGGAAAGTAGACGCTGCAGCTTTCTTAGGAGGTAGTATACATCGGACTGTCATCTGCCGTTTACCAAACGCCATCCTCAGGGTTTGTCGGATGCCGGTAGAGGCAACATCTCGTAGATAGCAAATCACTAGTGCCTGAAGTTTCGGCATCACCTAAAGACGGCCCACCCGAGTTCCAGTGAGAATGCTGCGTCAACTGAACGCTCACGAGTGCTGCGACAGCTTTCGGCCGAGACTCGTGTTCCAATCACTGAAAGCAGGAGTCCCGGTCCAGCGCTGGCGCCGCACTCGCGTCTAATCTGAAGCCCGCCTCCTGGCCTTCTTTTGGTTACGCCGAAAATTCAGCGCTAATGTTTTGCTATCTTGGAGGTAGCTAAAAGGCGGCTGGGGTTGGGGGAGCGGACGGAGTACTGGCAGGATATATCGGTTGTCTTGAGGCGTCAAAGGTTCGCGGTCGAAAGTTCCACTCGTGAGATTGGCCTGGATTTTGTTACACTTAACAAGTTACTTGTAATCTATATTGCTTTTGTTAGACAACTGTGTGATTGCTACATTAGATGGTTTCAATTGTAATATTTATTTTAATTGGAATACAAGAAATTACTTCAATTACTCGTTGCTCTCTTACAAAAGTATTGGCATACTATGGCTATTAAATGCTGAATTGAGAGCTACACCGATAAGGAGAAGGTCCACAAAGATGATTGGTTTGTGCTTTGACGCAGCTGGACATGGCGCCCCCTATAGTTCGATCTCCTCGCTCATAGAGAGGCCGGAATGAATTGAAGGGCTGTAAAATGAACAGGAGTAATTGGTGCCTGCACAGAGGAAGTTCGAACTTTCACAGACTGCGCATTTAGGCGGTCATTCTTTTTTTTTTTTTTTACCTCATGATATTTTGAAGCGTAGTTCTGTTCCTGCGAAAAATGAGACCCACAAACTTACCAGGTTCAACGGCGGCGTGTTCCCAGATTACCGAACTAGAGAGGGTTGTAAACTGTGGCGCCATCTCTCGACAGGCGCAGCAAACCGACAACATAGTGCGTCGTCTGCGCGCTACGTCTATCGGAAGATGGCGCCACAGCTTACAACCATCGCGTTTCCGAGTAGCGTACTTGCCACGTTCTAATGTGTGGTCCCTCAATTTCCACCTGATGACGTCAAAGTGTCATGCATCTTCCTGTTCGATCCTGGGGGAGGTACAGCAGCGAAGGTAGATGTGGCAGACGCCTGTTCCACTGCAGCTCGCTCTCCAGCAACTTGACAGTTCACGGTAGCTTCGGCATCCATGAGTTGGAACGTGGCGACGCCGGCGATACTCGCATTCTCTCGTACGTTCTGCCGAAACTTCTATGACGAACCTCTAGAATCGCGACATCCGACAACATGACACGCCGCGGCTCCTATGACGTAATTTGTTGCCATTTTAGGACCATACTCGATGTGTGAGCGGTATGGGACACTAAACGCAACTGTCAAAGACGGGTTCCAGTCACCTTACATAGTAGTACAGCCCACGCATCGTTTCTTCACATGCAGTTAAGTTCGAGAACTGTCCGGACGGAACGAGCTGTCACTACGGCTCCAGCTGCTGCCAAAATGAGGACGGCCGCTACGCCTGCTGCCCTTACGAGCGTGCCCAATGCTGCGACAATGAGCGTTGCTGTCCTCAGGGTTTCAAGTGCAACGACGCAGAGAAGACCTGCAAGAAGGACGAGACTGTCAAGCCAATGGCTGCCAAGTACCGAAGCTTCAAAAAACCCGTGCCAAACATCGACACCAGTAAGTTGACGTATGCAGTTTATTATAACAAAGGAATCTAAAAAAAGAAAACGCTTTGAATGCGGAATGAAACACACTGGAACTCGAAGCACGCTCTAAGAAATGTCTGTGAGTTCACTTTCCTTGTGAGCACGGATACATCCAAACACGGAGATGGCCAATAACGGCGAAGAATTGAAGGACAAAAGTGAGTGACGAAGCTTATATTACGATTAGACTTTAAAAATGCGATGGGTGCAGAGAAAATGAGAAAATTAAACGTCGTGCTAATAGACCCTTTCCAAAAGTCCGCGCCACCGTCTGTCCGCCATTGCTTGATCGCGTACTCTGAGCATGTATTGGACACAGGGGCTTCGTTAGCGTTCGGCGGGGGCTCGGATCCAATCACACGATGCGTGTCCATGGATTAATGGATGGATGTTAAAGGGTAACTGCAAAGAAAAAAAAGTTTTTTTTTTAAATAGCCTAATTGGGACAAGCATGTCAAAAAACAATTTTTCCGCGAGAAAAAACATTTTTTACAGCAATATTTATTGCGTGAGACTGATTTTAGTTTGCGGCTATTTCGCCCGTTTTAAATCGCGCGCCACGAAGTTGTGATTATGTGACGTCAATCCCAAAAGGTTCTCATTGGCTAAGAGTTTGATTGACAGCTTAGATCTTGGTTGTTAAACCTTTGTTATTCGTTGCAATTTCCTTTTGAGCGGCATATTTTTACGTTTAAAGAATAACCCATGTGATGAGAGTTATTATTCTTTACAAAAGGTTTACAAGACGGGCACTTCCGTTTGGATTCATACTAACAAAAGCTTCGCAATCTTTCATGGCCGCCGAACTCTGCTCCCGCCTGTCTCGCCTACCTCGACTAATCGTTTCGCCGAAGTGATCAGTGTTTCGTCGTTTCGTGCTGACCCAGGTGCTTGAGTGAGACTTCTTGAAGTGAAGTAGTGTGTGTTTAGTAGGGATGCCGCGAACTTTTTTCGAATCGAAGTTTCGATGATCGAATCAAGCGGTTCGAAAGATTCGAAAGATTTCGATTTTTCGAATTGTCTACATCGTAAAATTCGACGGAAGTCGAATTTTCGAACTTGCTAAGTTAAAAAGTTCGACGCTTTTCGAACCGTCGAACTTATTACGCTAAAAAATTCGATCTTTTTCGAACTTTCGAACTTATTGCGCTGCAAAGTTCGATGCTTGTCGAACTTTCGAACTTGACTGACCAAAAAATTCGATGAATTTCGAACTTTCGAACTTATTTATCAAGGGAATTCGAAAAGTTTCGAACTTTCGAATCCTGAAAAGTCAGAAGTTCGACGAACTTCGAACTTTTAGGGTAAAAGTTCGACGTTCGTCGAACTTCGAAAGACCGCCGGACGGTTTCATTTGAATTCAAGTAGCGAGGTACATTCGTAATTTTTTTCTTCTCGAACTTTTACACGCGGTGCTGCGTTCCTTACGAAAGAAAATGCCGTTTGTTTCAATGTTCTGGCATGCTTAGTTTTAAAGAAATAAATTCCCGAAGGGGCGAGGAAGGACGACGGGTTTTTGACGATTATCGTTTGTGCCAGATTTGAAGCGCGCTGTAGCCGAAGCTATTTATGGTAGAGATGTTATACTTCTTTAAGAATGATCTATGTATAGCCTAGGTAAGTGCCGTCTTAAGATGTGATTATTGTTATTCAACGTGAGTTTTGAAGAAATGTCCAAACATGTATCTACATGCAATTATGCCCTAAACTTGATATTTATTTTCGTCTAAGTTGTTTGAGGTATCGCATTTAAATTAACACCACGGACAGTACATATCATTGCCATGTGCAGAATGCAAAATAATGTATTTATTGTTTTTTTCACGTAATTAACTCATAGGAGAAGATTTCTAATAGTGTTCAAGTTCAGCACGTCATTAAAAGAAAACTTTTTTTTTTCGCTTCACGTTCCTGTGAAGTATTTCTTTTAGCCCGTACACATTTTGGTAAATGAAACTTGTTTCGAAGTTTTTAACCTCTGAATATGCAAGAATACAACACTTCCGGTGAATTCTTGATAGTTTTTTTTCCAGCTTTTTATCCCCGCATTTATTTATTTTTTTTTTTTTTACTGTTGGCACAGGTATTTAGGTTGAAAAGACATAGCTTTGAACTTCCGAACCACTAAGCATGTGACGAGTAGTGCCTTCTGACAACGAGTTTCTAACAATGACCATCTACGCAATCTTTTATGCAGTGAAGAGCGACAGTAGCTATACATATGCATAAATAATTTCAAATTAAAATTAGCTCGACCACGCCCTCTTTCCCCGTATTGTTTTCTTTAACAGTCCGAAATATCTGGAAGGGGGGAAGGAAACCGAACCCCCCCCCCCCCCCCCCCCCCCGCTACCCTCTTTCCCCCGTTTTTCCTCTTCCGACGCCACTTGTATGGTAAAACGCTCCTCGACCTCGAGTTGTGTCGGCTTTTTGCGAGGCGAATGCTCCGTTCTTGAAAATAAACCTCCAGAACAATTACAAACTTAACTTACTATATGCCAGCGTCATTCGGGCGGACTTCGATCGGATTACTACCAGCGTGCAGGGGGTGGCGAGGTAGTTGCCAGGTCGCTACAAGGTTTTTCTGAGCCTCAAGCAACTGCTTGCCCCTGGCCGTTTCGAACTCGATGAGTATCGTAAAACAGTCTGTTCGTGTGATCACTACTGCGTGATGCAGGTTAAAGTCCCCCCCCCCCCCCCCCCCCCCCCCCGGGCTGGCGGTCACAATTACTGATCTATGGTCACACGTCACTCTGCACTGCCAAATATTCCAGCACCATCCGGGACACTCGTCGTCCCATTTAATTGCCTGACCAACTTCGCAGAATCTAGATATCACACCCTAACTTTTCTAAACTTGATTTTGTGAAAACCAGTGAGTCGTGAAAACGTTATTTGAAACTGAAACTGTGGAGGAACTTGAAAACCGGACTTCGAACTTTGAAAACTTGGACTAGAAAAAAATTCAAAATCTTCGAGTTTTTTTGTTTTTTTTTTTCGAATTTAGCGTCAAAAGAGAATCGAAACCTTCGAACTTTTCGAACTTTATGCAGAAAGAAATTCGAAATCTTCGAATTGTTCGAACTTCATGTCTATAAAAATTCGAAGCGTTCGAAGTTTTCGAATTTAATTTCCAAAGAATTTCGAAATCTTCGAATTTATCGAACCTGAAGTAAAAAAATATTCGAAATATTCGAATCCGAAATTTTAGAAACCGAGAAAGCTGCGAACTTTTCGAATTCGAAACTCCACTGAGATCGAAAGTTGCGAATTTTTCGAATTCGAACCTGGGTCGGTACGAAAATATCGAAATTTTTCGAAATCGAACCTCAGTTCGCTTCGCAAATATCGAAACCTTTCGAAATCGAACCTGGGGTGGTTCGCGACATCCCTAGTTTTCTTTAACAGTCCGAAATACCTGCAAGGGAGAAAAAAAGGCTGAAGCCCCCCCCCGCTACCCTCTTTCCCCCCGTTTTTCCTCTTCCGACGCCACTTGTATGGTAGAACGCTCCTCGACCTCGAGTTGTGTCGGCTTTTGTGCTTTTTGCGAGGCGATTCCTCCGTCCCAGAAAATAAACCTCCAGGACAATTATAAACTTCACCGGATCGGATTACTACCAGCGTGCAAGGGGTGGCGAGGTAGTTTGCCAGGTCGCTTCCAGGTTTTTCTGAGCCTCAACCTCCTGCTCGCCCCTGGCCGTTTCGAACTGGATGAGTCTCGTAAAACAGTGTGTTCGTGCAATCACTACTGCGTGATGCAGGTTAAAGACCCCCCCCCTCCCCCCCCCCCCCCCCCCCCGGGGCTGGCGGTCACATTTCTGCACTGGCAAATATTCTAGCACGTCCGGGACACTCGTGTTTCATTTAATTGCCTGACCAACTTCGCAGAATCTAGATATCACACCCTAACTTTTCTAAACTTGATTTTGTGAAAACCAGTGAGTCGTGAAAACGTTATTTGAAACTGAAACTGTAGAAAAACTTGAAAATCGGACTTCAAACTTTGAAAACTTGGATTAGAAAAAAATTCAAAATCCTCGAAGTTTTTTTTTTTTTTTTTTTTTTTTTGAATTTAGCGGTAAAAGAGAATCGAAACTTTCGAACTTTTCGAACTTTATGCCAAAAGAAATTCGAAATCTTCGAATTGTTCGAACTTTATGTCTACAAAAATTCGAAGCGTTCGAAGTTTTCGAACTTTTTTTACAGAGAATTTCGAAATCTTCGAATTTATCGAACCTGAAGTAAAAATATATTCGAAATATTCGAATTCGAAATTTTAGAAACCGTGAAAGCTTCGAAATTTTCGAATTCGAAACTCCGCTGTGGACAAAAGTTGCGAATTTTTCGAAATCGAACCTCGGTGAATACGAAAATATCGAAATTTTTTGAAATCGAACCTCAGTTCGCTTCGCAAATATCGAAACCTTTCGAAATCGAACCTAGGGTGGTTCGCGACATCCCTAGTGTTTAGCAGCTGTCACAGGTGTTAGTGATAGGAAGCGACGCGGGGTTTTGGCTTTCATAGCGCGGTTCTTTCGTTTTCCTCTTTGCTTGCTTAGCGTGCTTTTTTTTTTGCTTGTTTGTGCGTGCAAATGCTGACTTTTCGGAGATGTTAGATGCGTGATCCCGACAGTGAGCCTTCCAGCAGCCATGTCGCCCCGAAAGGAATGCTATTTGGGTGGAGGCAATCGGGCGTTCGCGTAGCGACAAACGTGTCCAGTTACGTTCTCGTCATATCGCTCTGGAGGCCGTCGAGATTCGCCCCGTGTGCACCTAACGTCCGCGACTAGACAGAAAATAAAAAAAAGCACTATGTCCACTACATAAAAATGGTCTCAGTTCATGCATCTGTAGGCAGGTACGAAATCGTGCCCAAATTTATTCACACCGCACGATGCAACACGTCGCTGTGCAAACGCAGTCCAACACGAAGCATAAAAACGGCAGATTTAGGACAACAATGCGGAGTCC